GGAGGTCCCTGGGACCATCAAGGGAGAAGAGCAGAGAGCAGGACCCTACCCAGAGAAGCAGTGATGCCTGAGATGGAGGCAGAGACGATGACATGGAAAGATGGAGTGGCTAGGGACTTTAGACCCAGAGAGGGAGAGGGGCTGTGTGCTGACGACTGGGGGACAGACTTGCAGGGTATATACCCTTTGGTTGGTTGATGATGCATGGCGGGGACTGTAACCATGGCAATGAAATGATATACGACAGGATGAATGTAAAACTAATGTTCTCCCATGTAAACTATCACATAATTCACAATAAAACATTAATAAAAGAACAAAAACAAAAAGGTCCATTAAAGCAGGAGTGGGGAATGTCCAGTCCGCGAAATCCTTAGGTCTGGCCCTGCCAAGGCAACTGCAGTTCCAGCCATCACGTTGTTGTTAAGTACCATGAAGTCAGTTCCAACCCACAGTGACACTGCACAGGGTTTCCGAGACTGTAAATCTTTATGGGAGCAGAAAGCCTCATCTTTCTCCCACAGAACTGCTGGTAGTTTCAAACTGCCGACCTTGAGGTTAGCAGCCCGACTTGTAACCACTACGCTAATTAATGTTTGACCAAATATAGCAGGCTAATTGTTAAGTTGATGATTTTGCATGGCCCGAATGATATTATAAATTTGGGGGGTGGGGAAATTGTTCCCCACCCTTGCATTAAAAACAGATCCTAATAATTAATTCTTTATGTCTTAATATCGTACCTTCATGATTATTAAGAATTAAGAGGGGAAAAATATAAAAATCACAATTGGCCCTCAACTGCTTTTTCTGTCCTGGAACTGGAAAAGCCTAAAACCCACAGAGGCAGCATAAAACTGTTCATCACTCATCCAGGCCGGGAGGACAACTCCAAGCCGTGCTTGTAAGTTCCCTTCGCTCAAACACGAGGAATAATAAGAATTATATTGGTTTATATCAGGATAAGTAATTGTCGGGTGTAATCAAGTCTATTCCAACTCATAGCAACCCCATGAGACAGAGCTGAATTTCCCCAGGGAGTTTTCTTGGCTGCAATCTTTACAAAAGCAGATCAAATCTCTTTCCCTCAAAGCCTCTGCTTTGAGGGAAACACCAACCTTCTAGTTAACAGCCAAACACTTAACCACTATTCCATCAGCGTTCCATGAATGAAACAGGTCTGAAGTGATTAAAGGCAATGACTCTGGTCAATAGAACCTGGGGTTTTTTTGAATGAACAGTTACAGTTAACTGACTTAAGTTCACATTCAAAACCTTACGTAGAAAAGGGTATGCTTGAAAAACCATACTTACCAAATGCTAGTTTGTCCTGATTATTGGCCACTGCATGGATAAGCCCAATTGTACCACAGGAGTTCCCAATGGTCTGCTTCATAAAGTACACTTTAGGACTAACTTCTTGTCCCTTCAGCTCTTCAATCTGTTTTTTCCTAAAATTCTCATGCTATGAGTAGAAAAGACATTTTATCCATTTCAGTATAAAAATGCAAAGAACTAGCAGATGGCAGCACAGAGAGTTCCATCACCTAAATGGAAATGCAAGTAGGATGTGTGACCAGGAGTCTTGGTTCTAGATGCTGGCCAATATCCACAGAAGAGCCCGTCTGCCTCCCACACACTAGCCTGTGGCATTTTGGGTTTCAGACACTCCGCCCTGATGCTGCAGTGCAGTAACAGCCTTGGATATTACCCAAGGCTTTGTCTAGACTCCACTGTAGCCTTCAAGCTTGAAATAGACATGGTGTCATGAAGTCAGAAAATCAAACCAGTTCGCTATTTTCTTTAAATCTAACAGTATTTTCACACAGGTGTCCCAGTTAAGGTTGGTCAATTTAATGCGCAACAAGAACCAGCTAGCAGTTTGAATCTACCAGTTGCTCAACAGGAAAAAAATTAGGCTTTCAGCTCCTGTAAAGATTTACCGTAGCCTTGGAAACCCTATACAGGGTTGCTATGAGTTGGAAACAACTCTGTGGGCACATCCCCATCATTCTACTTTCACTCTGTCCAAGTATACCACTCGTAATAAACAAAACAACCCTACTGAATTGTTCAAAAGAACAGTTCAAATAAACTATTTCCTTTTTCTTTTCTTTTTTCGCTAAGAAGGGAAGATAACTGGTTTAAGATATTCAGTTGTGTTTTTCACCAAAACATCTCATTCTACAAGATGATGTTGACACTTTTTGGCCTTGCCAGCTACACAGTTTGAGGACCGATTAGCCATGTAGGATGTGGAGAAGGGACTGGTACACAAATGAGACTAAAAGATCATTTTCCTCTGTTGTATGGTAACTTAACTGAGCTTGGTTCGACCTTTTACGAACTGGTTTTCAAGATCTTGAAGGTATGACTTTGATGTTAACAACATAGGGTATTAGTGCAACAGAAACACCCAATTCCTGTACCAACAAGATTCAGACAGAACATCAGAAGTGTTATTTCCAATCCCAGTAGCTTTATGTTCCTACACATATTCTGCGGCACGATCAGAAGAACATGCTCTTTTGCTGATTTAAGATTTGCTTTATGTCACAACTGGCCAGTCACAAGAATGTAAAACTCCAACTAGTAGGAAGTTTTCACATCATACCTACCAGATCCTTGAACTGTTATTCATTGGCTGTTCAGACCTGGTGTGGTAAGCACTGGACTGCCAACCACAAGGTTGGTGGATCAAACCCTTCAGCTGCTCCTTGAAAATCCTAGACAGGGTCGTTATGAGTCATGAGTCGGAATTGACTAAAAGGCACTTAACTACCAGTTAATTAATGGGAGGGAGGAAGGGGAGACAGTATAATCCTTTAGGGTTGTTTGAGCTCTTTAAGGAGTCACTTCTGTAAATATTTCACTGTGACCTGAAATTAATGTTTGTAAAGTAGTCCAATTAGAATTTCATCATGCCCCAAGTCAAAATTAGATACTTTCTAAATTTATCATAGTTGTTATTTTTAAGTGCTGTAGAGTCGGTTCCAACAGATGACGACCCTGTATAGGGTCTCCAAGGAGCAGCTGGTGAGCTTAAACCTCCAACATTGTAGTTCAAACTGACTTTGCAACCCAGCACATTACCCTACAGCACCATACCACGACTAGCTTGTTTGAAAAAAAAAAAAAAATCAACCTACAAGGGGGCTTCCAAAGATTAATGGAAAAATTAGAAGGTAACTTTTTGGTAATGATTTATCAAAAAATATATATTGGCTAGTATTCAGGCAAAGCCAAACACCTCAAACTTTTCTTTGAATATGTTTTAGTATTTAGCCCAGTAGATGTTTAATTGAGCAGAATAACAAATCTGGTGGGATGAACTAGAGCTCTTTCAAACATAAACTAACCAAACCAGAATATTCTCTAACAGGAGTGGCCTGATTCAGTAAAAGAACAGTGGGATTTCCAAAGGCAAAACATGCTACACTACTGCCGCCCGGAGGCCTTGCCTCTGAATGCTGCTCAAAACCTGTGAGTCATCATGGTTCCTCTACAAGATAGCTCTGCTGAGGGGCTCAGGTGAAAGTCGGGAAACAACACTTGATTTGGTCAGTGGAAAGCTCATTGTGACTTGTGATTATTTGGCAGCTTTCTTCCCCCCTCCCCTCAAGTAAAGTCTTTGTTAATATAAGCATGTCAGTGGGACAATTCTAACAGTCTTAATAACCAAGCCCACAGCCATTTCCAAGCCATAGTGACCCTGTATATTGTTTCTGAGGCTGTAAATCTTTGGTAAATGTAAATGTTTGCTGTCGAGTAGGTTCCGACTCATAGCGACCCTGTTTTGGGTTTCTGAGGCTGTAAATTGTTACCAGGGCAGAAAGCCCCATCTTCCTCCCTCAGAGTGGCTGGACTGCCCATCTTGTGGTTAGCAGTTCAATTCTTATCCTATAGCACCACCAGTAGGTATTTCTAATCCACAACTTTTAGCCCATCTACCAGGATGGAAGATGTGGAATTTCCCCGATGGATTTACTTATGCTGATGAAGCGCCTAGCCTTACTGTTTCAGTTAAGTTCACTCTGAGTTTGGAGTGATAGATACTCCAAATTCAAAGATCCCAAGTTTTGCTAATAGGAGATAGGCAATGCAAGGCAAATTAGGTAGAAATTCATCTACCAAAACAATTATTCAAGCTATCTTTTGATGCTTAGTGTTCAGGCTTTGAGGTACATTTATTCATGGGCACTTGTGGACATTTCCAAGACTGCTCTAAATAGCCTATTTCATACAGCTACAAGGTCAGAGAGGATAAGAGGGTGGAAGGAGGTACCAAGAGACCCACATAGAAACCATACACAAATGTTAAGCCTAAAGGATACAATCAAGAGCATAGACACCACGTGTGCATAATTGTGGGAAAAAGTAGATGTAAGGGATGAGTGGAAAAATCGGAGTCCACCAGAGACCCAGCCCTTGCAGTAGTGGTGGTGGCGAATTAGAGAGCCTATTATAGAACCTATTGTTTGCTAGTGATTTAGGCAACCCCCACCACTACCACCACCCTCCCTTTTCCAGCAAGGTGGGAGTAGGAGAACTAAACAATGAGCTGACAGGTAGGCCCACAGCCCTGAAAGACAAAACGCCCAGCCTGCCATTCCTGTAATGGGAGGTGCAGAATAGACTCCAGGTATTAACAGGCTATAGTATCAAGGCTTAGCAAACTCATGAGAACGGTGAGTAGTTTCGCTACATCATTTGGAAGATAAAACTGAGATACTATTGATCTCCCAATTTTAAGACATCACTAGATAAGTGAAAAGACAAAAAGCGCCATTACACCAGGCATCCAAATGAGTAGGAACCACAAAAGGGTAGGCTCCTCCCTTCCTGGGAGGCGCGCCCTTCATTCCCCATGGGCAAAAGAACCAGGTCTGCACCGGCCTCCGCGCTCCACGCCGGTGAGGGAGCAGCGCGCATCGGAGGGGACCCGCCCACCCGGGCCCCACGCCCTACCTGAGCAGTGAGCGGAAAGAGCAGCAACAGCGCGCAGGCAGGCGCTGGTACAGAGCCCAGTGCCTCCTCCTCCAGCCCCAGCACATCCACGAAGCGCCACTGGCCGGCAACCCCTAACCGGGCCAGCACCTGCAGAGAGAAGACAAGGCGGCCAGGTGCAAGTCACAGGCACCTGCTTGGAAGGCTAGAGCCTCTTTGCGTGCCTTCTGCACCCCCACGCGAGCCTGGAAGGAGTTCGAGCCCCGCCCCGCTCCCCTAGCCCTCCGGCGCAATGACACAGCACAAAGCGCGGCCCACACGTGGCTCCCGCGAAGCCGGGTACCGAGTCCTGGTGGCCAGCGCCACGCCCTCATGAGCTCGGTCTGGCGCTCGCATCTGGGCGCAGTGTCCTCCATCCCTAACCCCCGCCCAAGACGAGTTTCGCCGAGTCACCACTCAAATCCAGCAGCAGAGAGAGGGCGCCCAGCCCACCGCCTGCGGAGAGCACAAGGCGAGGCTCAGCCCCTACGAAGCAGCGGGATTTTGTGGGCGCCTCCGCCTCGGCGCTCCCGGGGGACCCGGGCAGAGACAGCGGGAGACGCCACTCACTTTGTTCAGCATCTGAAAGGCAAATACAACAACAATAATAATTACAACAAAATCGGTCCGTGGCAAGGCTAGCTGGCAGGGGCTGCCCCAGCACCGGCGCTGCCCCGGCAACGGTGCACCTGGCGCTCACCTCGGGGTTAATCTCCATCGGTTTGAGCTGCATGTTTGAGAACAGCAAAAGAAGCCACAACCGAGAGACGAAAACAACGTTTGGAGCCGCCCAGGCTGCCTCTATAAAGCGCCGGCCTGACGCACTATAGGGCCTGCGCAGGGGGAGCAAGGACAAAACCAAGCGAGGGGGAACAGTCAGGCGCAGCCAAATGGACACGAAACCCCCATGCACAGCGCCAAGTGGTACGGTCGAGCCCCCAAACCTTGCAGTCTCACTCGCTGGTGAGATAATCTGATGGTGGTAGCAGTGACAGAGCTGGGTGACTATTCTTTGAGTGTACTAAGCAGTCTTATTTTTTGCAAAGTTTCTAAGACCACCCCCTCCCCACTCCCTCTCTATCATCCTAATCACCGGGAAGCTGTGGTTCTCTGAAGCATTGAGAAAAAGCTCAAATTCAACAGGTATATATTTAGTACAGCTGTAAATACTCATATGTGTTCCCCAAATCTCGCAGCGGTTTGCATTTGACTTTAGACAATCCATCCTCCGTATTCAGTCACACCAGAACTGAGGCTCGTCTTTAATTGACTGAGTTGAATAAAAAAAAAAGAATCTGATTTATAATCGTACATTAGTAATGCTGATGTAATGTGACTCCAAGGAAGAAGTCGTTCTGAGGACACGGTAGAAACCTGGGGGATGTGGCCATCATACAAGAAACTGAGAAGACATTAGCAAAAAGATTCAGAGAAAAGAGGCTGTGTAAGGAAAAGCATTTTTAAAAGAATAGGAACCTTTGAAAAATAAAATTCAGAGTTCACAGTAGAATATCCCACTGAAATGGAGGGTGATAATTAAAGTAAACACAGTTTTTTAAATGGTATCAGATGAGGTTTTTTCCCCCTAGCAGCATATTCAAAGGATGCATGCACACGCCAAAGAATGAATTAAAATAGTGGCAAAAATCCATAAGAACAGTGCCAGGAGAGCCAAACCTCAGAATGAACTGACAGTTGTAGAAATACTAAGAAAGCAGGAAAGTTGCGTGTTTTTTATGCTCAGAACAAAATGATGGTGATGAAAGACAGAGGGAAGGTAGACTATGTACCCTGCTTGAGTTGGTGCCTCTAACTACATCATCAGGTGCTTCATATCCCACCTCATTTAACCCGTAGTGTCCAGTGGAGTAATTTACTAGTGCCATTTTACAGATAAGAATCCAAGGTTTATTGTTGTTGTCAGATTCCACTCAGTTGATTCCAGCTCATAGAAATCCTATGCGACAATAGAACTGCCCCCACAGAGCTTTCTAAGCTGTCATTTTTATGGAGCCAGATCAGCAGGTATTAAGGATTGAATTGTGTTCCCAAAAAATAGGTGTTTTATACCCTTCCACAGGTAGTCTCCAACTGACATTTATTTACTCAGGTTACCACAAACTGCATTTAGGGCAGCCCTTTTTAAATTTTGTACATCTAATCAGTAGTAGTATGTGTTCCAGTGTTTCAGTGTGTACTTTGCTGATGTTATTCTCATGGTGGTATTATGTTTTAAAGTGCTTTTGAGTCGTTTCTGACTCATAGCAACACTGAATGAAACAATGCCTGGTCCTGTACCATTCCTATGTTGTCATGCTTGAGCTCATTGGTACTGCCACTGTATCAAACCATCTTGCTAGGGGTGACTTCCTTTTTTACACTGACACTTTACCAAGCATGATGTCCTTCTCCATTGACTACTCCTTTCTGACATAATGTACAAAGGACCTGAGCCAAGTCTCACCATTTTCACTATTAAGGAGCATTCTGGCTGTACTTCTTCCAAGATTGATTTCTTGTTCTTCGGG